TGACAAGCAATGGGCAATGGGGTGAACACTTCTTTTTAAACAAGCTGACTACTTTTTGCCTGGATGAACACGTGACGATAGCGTAATTAACGCTGCTGTAAAGGTCAAATGCAGAAGGCGATCACAAACATTAAAGGGAATACCGTACCTTGAGGCACTGCCGTACAGTTGACAGTTGCAGAGGCGGCAGCATTTATGCCCACTGGTCCGTAGCCGTTTGACCGGGCCGGAATGTCAGTTGCAGTGCTCCGGCCTTGCTCCTGCTCTTCTCCGTCGCCGATGAGCGCCGAAGTCAGCTTATTATTGCTCAGTTTGTCGTGAAGTGGACAGCTGGAGAGCAGTGCCGTACCGGTCAGTGCCAGTGAAGGTGTCGACCGGTGGTGATGCTGCTGCTGCTGGTGCTGCTGATGTTGATGCTTTTGGTGTTGATGTCCTGGGTGGCCTTGACTGTTCGGCCCGGGAAAGCTAGCTCGATGAGTAGTGGACGATGCCGATGAGTTGGTTGAGGTAGAGACGGCCGATGAGTTGGAGGACACCGAGGAGGACTTATTGCAGATCCACAGAAGGCGGTTGATGGTGCGAGAGCACTTGCTGCTCACGTGACGATTCAGCGTGGTCGTCGTCTCCAGCGGCTCCAGCTGTTGTTTGCTGCAGTTGTTGTGATTGCTGGCAGCTGCGTTCATCGTGGCCGTAGTGGTAGTCACGTTGCCCTTGGCGAAGAAGTGACTCGAAGCGGCCAGAGAGTGTCGAGAGGAGCCCTTGCTGGTGGGCAGGGGCGAGTGAGGCAACGGGTGATGGTGAGGGTGAGCTAGGCCTCGAGCCAGGCCACTGCTGCTGCTGTGATTGAGGACTCCGGCAGTCCCGGTACATACTCCACTGCTGATGCTGGTGCTGTTGGCCACCAGCTGATAGGTGGTGGCCTCCTGTTTTCCTTCCACACCCAGCGAAGGTGGCTTGGGTTTCGTCGAGTGGTGGTCCTTCACCATCAAACTCTGCCGCTTAGAGTGCCAGTTGAGCCAAATTTCCCGGCAGATGATGACGTGCGTGTACGTGAGAATGAAGAAGGGCACTATGAAGACGGTGAAGGTGTAGAAGGTGACGTAGGCGCCGGGCATCCACGGGTACTGTGTTTTAAAGGAGAAAAGAAAGATAGACAAACAGAGGAATGTTAGTGCACCGTACGTTTGTTTGTGATTGTTTGCGTGCATCTTTTTACGTCTTTTTCCTCTTTAAGATCAAGAACTTTCCTCTTCTTCTTCCTTTTCCTGAGAAAGTGCAGCTGAACTGCAGTGCAATCCTGCAGCCAGCTAAGCCAGTAAGCCAATCAGAGTGGCCAATTTGCCTCTGTTTGTTAGAAGCCTGCTCAGCAACCAGCGACAGCAATCTCCGGCCAGTTAAGAAACAACAACGAAAATGTACTCACAAACGGACTGACAGTCTGACTAGTTGTGACCAGCACTTGGCAGCACTGTCTAGGGCTGATTTTAACAGAAAAAAAGAGGGACAGTTGCGTGCCCTGGTACACTGTTTTTTTGCCTTGTCCTCTTATACAATGTACTAACAATGTTGTCCATTTCCTCTATTCGTCAGCGGCGGCCGCCATTCTTCTCAAAGGACACTTCCTATTTACGGAAATATAAATTTTTCAACGGCCTAACTTTGAAGCCCCAAACACTGAAAATGCCATCTGGATGAACATCTGAAATGCCCTACAACAACTTATATTCTTGAGAAAAAACGTCGCCAGATGAAAAAGCATTTCTACTTTGATTTTTTCTACAACAAGAGCACCACTACTACCACCACCACCACTACCGGCCGTTGTCTTCTTCTTTCCCCTTTTTCTCATAAATTCAGCATCCATTGCTATTTAAATTGATTTAATTGGTCACATCTGGCAGTGAGTCCACTCTCAATTGATGTTGCAACGACAGCAACATTGAGACTAGACCAGTGTGTACGTCATTGCCAGTGGCTACCACTACAACCACTACCTAAACTGCGACAATCGATTTGTGAAAAGTTATAGTTTTGCACTGCCAATCCAAGTTATTAAAAGTAGAGATCTTGGACCTACAAAAGCTTTCTATTTCTCTTTCTCTCCTCCACTGCTGCTGCTGTTGCTGCTGCATGGTGCATCTTTTTCAAGTGAACACCACTTTTTCCATCCATTTTCTTTGTCGTAGACAACCTCTAAGCATGTATCAATGGCAGACGCACGCACACACTAACACCACTTTTCTGTTTCAGCAATCTGAAGGCAAGCCATTTGTGGACCTAATCTGTTTCAGCTATCGCAGCCTCTAATGGCACTGTCGGTGCACAATAAAACAACGATTAACGAGTAGTCCGTGGTGTACGTTGGCGGCCAACGGACAACAACAGTGGCAGTGTGCCACTGCACACAGACAGCTGCTCCGGCAGGTCGAGTGGCCTTGCCTGCCCTTCTCCTCAGCTCTTGGCCCACCGTAGCAATCGCAATCTTTCTCCTTTTCCTAAGAAGTCAAAGTCGACCTAGAAAATGGCCATTATTGAGAGTGCTGCCACACGCACAAGTTTTACCGTGTGTGTGTGTGTGTGTGTTTGCACACAAGGCACAAAATCACCGACAATGTTTGTGTGTTTGTGTGCGTCAAGCAGTGCTTGCGTCAATGGAGCTCGGGCAATCACCAGTGTTTATTGGTAACTTTGAAACATTCAGTAAGTATATTTTTGTCCAATTTTAATCTGTTTTTAATCTGGCAAACAAAACGATCACAATTGCATTAGTTGAGTGGGAGAGCACTTTTGAAGCCACTTACAATTGACGCCAGTTGCCTGGTGCAAGTTTTTTTCAGTTTTTAACTGTTCCTCAGCGGCCATTTGAGATGAGTTCCTGTGGTGCCGCCTTCAAATGGCCACCCTCCAAGCTCCCAAGTCCCCATCAACTTTCAATCTCTTTTCTTTTCTTTTTTTCCTTACTATGCCTTAAAACTCATCTTTAGCTCAACTTTTTTTCAAAGTTTGAACGCACAAAGCCAATCTGAGTACCCGATTTCGTGTCTCGATTGGCCGTTGGTTATTGTTTTTTCTATCTAACGATAAAATTTTTAGTTGTTTGGAAAAATTGAAATGGCTTTATTCTGGCTTCAAAACGCTAGTTTTCCCTTGTGTTATTGTTGTTGCACTCTCTTGTCTGGCCATCTCTCAAAAAAATGTCTGTAAAATCAAACTCCAATTTTGAGTGCACAGTGTGCGTGAGTGCAAGTGAAAGTTACCCACAAAAGAGCAGCATCAGCAGCAACATCAGCAAGCTAGTTTAGTCCAGTCAGTTTGCTGCTCGCCATTTTTCACTCACTTTCGCTGCTTTCACTTTGAGAAAATCTTCAAATTTGTCACTTTCCACTGTAATCGTTATTTTCCGTTACTAATTCTTTGTTGTTGCTCTCGTCCATTTGTCTTTTTCGCTGTGTCAAATAGTCGCTCTACCAACGGCCCCCTTTTTAGCCCGTTCTTTACTTAAACTGCCCATTACCCATAAAATTCATCCCACTCGGCGACATGCCACTAACACTTTAGTAAGCCTTTATCTTTCGCTGAGTGCACTTTGCATGCATGCACTTCATTTATGGCAATGTTTTGCAGCATTGTGCCTGCTGTAGAAATTAATTAAACTCAAATTGATAATTCAATTGTTTTCCCATCTCGCAATCTTCTGTCTTCTTGAAAACTTTCACAAACAATGCTGCCTGTTTTTCTCTCATTTGTCAGGACAGTTGGGGGAAAGCAAATTTCTGCAAACACTTTCACTTTCCAAATGGCAATGCACTCATTTTTGCAGCCTTTGCACCCATTGATTAGTGAGTGACTCAACAACTTGACAATTAGAGCGCGCCTCTAACTGTAAACATTTGTTTTGCTCTTAGATTTTTGTTTTTACTCATTTTTTTCCTTTCCCTCTTTCTTGCTAACACTGCTCGAGTGTCTTTTCTGTTTTGTATCAAACTCTTGAGCACCACACACACTAATTGATGGCTCTTCTTCTGAACAGCTTAGCTGAGTGTACACGTTCCCGGTCTGTCTGCCCATTAAAGTGTCGACACACAGAGCAAATGGACACGTTGTTGTACACACAAACACACAACAGCCATTCGACCGCAGAGCCAGTTCCAATGCACACTTGAGCTTACATTTTTTGCCCAGTGCCTCTAAACAGTAATTGGCGCAGTAGTGTGTGTGTGTGTGTTATGTATCATCGCATTACACTTTGACTGTGCAATGGTCAGCCTAGTCACCGACTGTTCAATGATGGCAATGATCGTATAGCACTGCAATTGCAATTAATCGGCAGTTATTTGACCGTTAGCTAAGCCACGCACGGAAGGCAATCACGGACAGAGGGTGCACAAGAAGTATGTGTAATGTGCTCCTCAAGAGCGCCCTTTCTCCCTGCTCTTGTTCACTTTGTTTGCAGCTTTTCTCAGTTTTGCAGCTTTCCATCTCTTTCCAATTGTGCCCATTATTCTTTCTTTTTCCTTTTCTCTCTTTTTTTCTTTGTGTCCATTCAATGTGGTCTCCGTCTTCTCGTTTTCTCGCTAATAACACAATTATTTAAGGATGTAGCAATGTGCACTCTGGCAATGAGGGAGAATCAGCCAGGGCAGCCTTGTGCAGATGTGGTGCAGTCAGATTGCCATGGTGCCACATCACCAGTGATTGAGATGAATACTAATCGACAAAAAGTAACAGTCAACAGAACAAATTGCCAAGTTTTGGCCGCCTCGTACAGAAGAAAAAACTCTTGTATCAAAACGAGTTCGTTGCGTTCAAGTGAAACAGACCCGAGACGAAATGCTAAGAAGTTCCACTGAAATTCAGGCCTGCTCCTTGCGTTTCTAGGTGTTCTCCCTCCCGGCCGCTGCCTGACAGCCTTGGCAGCCATCACCAGCGACCTGAAGTGAAATGCTATCATTAGACAAAGAGAGAACATTCCCTTTCCTTTTTCTCAGTGCGTTGACAGGCTAAAACTCGGCCAAACAATGAACACTTTTTGTTCAGCCCGCGTTCGTGTTTCACTTACCGGGAAAGTTGCCCAGCACTCGTAGTGATTGACCCCGATTTGCTGGTAGCTAAAGATGAATGGCTGAGGTGAGCAACTGATGAGGGAGATGAGCCAGGCGCCGAAGACCATCCACCGAGATCTGCTGGTCGATTGGCTGGACGAGTTTGACAGCGGATGACAGATGGCCTGGTACCGATCGATGGCGGTCATCACCAGCACGTAACTCGACAGGTACGGCCCCAGAATCTGCAGAAACTTGACCATCTTGCAGAGGGCATTGCCGCCGTAGAAGCGGCCCACTGCCTCCCAGGCCAGCTGCGGCAGCACATTGAATATACCGGTGATGAGATCAGCAATAGAGAGATGCACCAGAAAGAAGTACATTCGGTTGATTTTCAGTTTTCGGTTCTGCAAAAAAATGAAAACAAAAGCATTAATTAGGAGAAACAAGTGCAGGAGAGAAATGCAGTTTAAGGTGAGAGTGAGTCAAATTTTCTATTTTATTGGCTCTCGTATTATTCCTATACAAATTGTCATTTTTTAGCGAGATTTTTTTTTAAAAAAAGGCCGTTTATAATCTTACTCGTTTGTCCGGTGTCCGGCGTCCGGTGTCCGTTGTCCGGTGTGTAAAACCATTTAATACTTCCCATTATCCGATTTTGCTCAAATTCGGCACAAAAATCACATTAATTCTAACAAAAATTCAGGTGAAAGAATTAGAGTTGTACGATCAACGGGGCCCGAGATCCAGGAACCCAAAAATAATGCACAGCCAACAGTGGGGAAAAAGAAGCAGCCTGCCGTTTCTGGCAAATGCAGACTGTCTGCGGTCCCTTGAGAGCGCTATCATTCCCTTCACTAAGAGGGACAAAGTTTTTCCTTTTGTTTGCAGCTAATGTGTTTGCCCAGCAGAGTGACTGCACATGCATTCTGCAGCAGTGCACGGCTCAAATTCGCGAGGTCTGATGTGACTTGACCACTGTTAACTTCCGTCAACGAGGGACCTGCGAGCAAAACGAGCAGGACAAGAAGAAACGGAAGTTAACAGTGGTCAAGTCACATCAGAGATCTGCGAAAGAGTAATTTGAATTTCTTAGCATTGCACGCGGCTAGGTTTGACGTGACTTGACCACTCTCAATTTCCGTCAACAGTTATTGCAAGTTTCTATCGGTGCACCCAAAAAAATCTCGCTGAAGTTCTGGCTTGCCAGCACTTTTCCACCTGTGTTGAAAACAAGTTGCTAAAAGGTTAACGCAATTTGCCGCGACACGGAAACGTAAGTGAGTAAGTTTTGGTCCTCAGAGGACGACAGTCACGTGACAGAGGTGATCAGAGCAGTCTGAAAGTACTTAAGTGGCGCGGCACTGCACTATTTCCACACTCTCACTGCTCACCACCACCGCGTGCGTGCACACACACAAAGACAGGCACACGGCACAAAGAAAATCTCTTCACCGTCGTTTGTATTTACTATTGCACTCTGAGCCTCCACTTCTCAACTGCAAAAGCCGTTATCAATCGAATCTCTACAGTTGACAGCTGAACCACTCAGCACACCAGAATGGACACTACACCAAAACGCACGCCAATGGCTGCGATTGAAGACGCACGGCAAAACGACTTTAATATGCCAATAACAGCAGAGGATGTGAAGAAGGCAAAGATGGAAAATAAACTTGTGGCCGAAGCCTTAGCCACCGCCTTCGAGTTCAAACGCATAGCCGATCAAATGTTCGCTGACCCGGAATTCGCCCAGTCAGAGGGCGGTCGCAAGCTCCTGCACCACTACCTGAGTATCAGTAACAAAAGCAAAGTTTACCGCAAAGCATTCGGTGATATACTCGTTCGGTACTTTCCCGACATTGACGACAAGCAGTTGCACATGTGCTACGATTCGCAGTGCAAGCTGCCCAGCTGCGTTAAAGCTTCACCGAAGGGTAGCGGCCAAAAGGATGCGACGGCGAAGAAGAGGCAGAGGAAGGTCACAGAGACCAAAACCATTGAGGTTGAAGAAGGAGCAGCTGAATTTTCGAGCACTGACAAACAGGTGGCTGAAAGTTCAGGCGGAAACTCTCAGGCAGGCGACAAAATGGCGTGCAGCACCAGCACCATCGATGGCAATGTCGCTCAGCAAAGTCTCGACAACAACAACAAAACAGCTGAAGCTTTAAAAGTGGACTCCAGCTCTGCTTCTATGCAGAAGTCTCCTGGAGAGACTTCTTCTTCGCCGTTGTCAACGTCCGGCCAAATCGGCCCCTCCGCCGGAACAGCTGAAGTCTTTGACTGCCGAGTGAAGGACTGCAGTTTGCAGTTTAATTCATTTGAGGAGGCAGTTAAGCACTACGAGAGCCACGAGAATGATAACATTATCAAGTGCTCTCGATGCGACGTCATGTACCTGAGCCGAGAGCTAATGTGTCGCCATTTTGTTGACGTTCACAATGTGAGCTCCGGAGAAGTTCCGGACAGTTCTTTGACTGAGTGAGCATGCTTTCGGTCAGTAAACACACCGGTCTCTGGTTTGTTTATTCCTTGATCTCAGAAATGAACTTAGAAAAATGCAAAATTTTATGTTTTGGCAAATTCAATCGTTTGTAAAAATAAAAGTACACCGAATTTTCCTAAAAGCTCACATACAGTCCTTCCCTAGCTCTTTAACTTTATTTTAAAACAAAAACCTGCAATTTTACCTGCTCCACGAGCTGAGATCAAGGAATAAACAAAAAAATGACAAATTGTATAGAAATAATACGAAAGCCAATAACATAAAAAATTCGACTCTCTCACCTTAAATCACAGTTTTGTTTGCAAAAGAATACTACTGCCTAAATCACGCTCAGCTAGGCAAGGGTAAAATGGTCATAAATAATTAACCGTGACATTGAGCTAGCAAAAGTTGGAATGATTAATAATTAAGCGGCATTAATTAAGTAAATAAAACGTGTGTGTGCATAAAGTGGCATTGAGGGTACTGGAAAATAAATAGTTGGCCGACAGTTACAAGAATTATTGCGGTGTGTTTTTATGGCGGCAGCAATACGGAGAATCGATTGTGCGCGCAATTTGCTCCTTCACATTACCTCTGTGGTGAAATGACAAATGAGCGGAATAAGGCAGAACTATGTGGGGGCGGATGAAACAGATCTCCTGCAGCTGCTATTTTTGTTTACGGCAGTTTTAGCCATAATGGTTGTAATATTTCTCCAGGCAAAAAATTACCGTTTACGGTACGACCTTGAATTAGTTGTGTGCGCATTACACTTGATGAGTTTAAATGATGAAATGGCCAAGAGATAGAAAGAAAGGGGATCAAGGGACGCACTAGAATGGGAGATTAGGTGCACGAGAGTGGCAATGGCTGGAAATGGCGGATCAAGAGCCCTCATTTCCAGCTAGGTCAAACTGCTATAGCTCAGTTGTGCTCAAGTGCTACTGACAAATACTACAATGTGTGTCTTTAGTGGTGGTAGTTCTCGGTAGTTCTTGATCTCATGCTTAGTCGGACAAACTTTTCATTCGTTTGCTGAAGCACTAAGTGCTGACAATAGTCAGTGGTGCACTGGACTTTTCTGGAGTTCACTCACTTTCATTTTTTCCCTTGCACGCACTATTAAATGCAAAAGCCAATTTAGCGTAATACACTTGCACTCAGGCAAATCAACTGCTCTTTTTCCAAAGAAAAAAATAAGACAGCTTCAGAAAATATTGCTCTGCAAGTAAGTGTGCTGTAAAAGCATTGCAGGGAAGTGGCTGTTAAATGACGATGTGCTTTACTGTCAGTTAGTGACTTTGATGCCGTTTTGTTGTGTTGGCTGCCTGTCGCTTAGCGTTTTCTAAGTTGGTTTACTCAAGATAAACAATATTTTATTTTATGCTAATAGTCTAATTTTTAATTCAAGAAGCGCTGAGTGAAAGTGAACACAAGCGTACGTAGTCCAGACTGACTTTAATGGCAAAGAGTAGCTGCTTATATACACAAACAGGCGACGTAACTTCGAACTCTCAAAGCCACGTCGCTAGCGGCCTATGGGCCGCTACTTTCATCATTTTAAAAATGCTACAGGTGGCACAAAAATGTTTTAAATGGCATAAAACCGTTTTTAAAAATTTGTTTATCCTTTTTAGATGTGTTTCTGAAACGGTTTCAACTTTATAGACAAGTTTTGCTATGTTTGTTGACTTTTAATTTGAAACTTTCATTCCCTTTTTCTGACTTTCCTACTCTCCTCACTTTTTGTTTTTAGTTGTTGGCTGTTGTGGGATTAATTAAATGCACCATGAATAGCTGGGCATAAATTACCAAAGCAATGCCCTTCTCTTCCTCCCCCCTCCATCTGCTCCTTATGTTTAGCAGTGCCTTTCAGTTGCGCCTAGCGAGTTTTATTCATGTCAACGAGTGAACTGAAAAAGAAGAAGAAAAGAGAACGAAAAAGTCGATGACAGTATTTTCGTTTGTGTCACAAACATCTCCCACTTTGGCGCTGACGGTAAAAGGGACATGGCGAGGCTAGTCATTGAGCTCAATTTGCAGCATAAATTAAATTGAATCATTGTGAGCTAGAGTGAAATAGAAAAAAGAAAAAGAAGAAAAAGCACCAACAGACGATGGATGGGGAACAAGGGTGGCACACATGCTCTTGATTGGCGCAATAGACTCGGAGATGATGACATTTGAAGGATAGCGCAGAGAAAAAGAATGGAAGCCAACAGTTTGTCATGTCCTGTCTTGTCCGCTATCTGCTTGTCAGTTTGTGTTCTTCTGATGATGGCCACTGCAGTGTGGTACACTACACTAGAATGAATGTGTGTGTGTGTGGCGCAAATGTGTCGCTCATTAGTGTGCAAAAAATATTTCATTGTCTAGTACAACTTAGAGAAAACAAAAGAATATAAACATTATATCTGGTGGCAAACTAGATGAAAAGAAAAATAGAAAAAAGAAAATCAGTAGATCACTTTAATTTCCTTGCCGGCCGCTCAACTTTTTAGCTATTTTTTCAATTCTCATCTTCATGGCAATGAATAAGGCATGACATAGCTTGGGTCGCATAAACTGGGAGCTCTGTAGGAAAACAAAAAGGATCCAACAAAAAAAGAATATAACAAGAAAAAGAATTTAAAATTAAATGCATCACATTAGCACAATGGCCATCATCAGAGTAGTAGTAGTATGTCAATGATAGTCGTGTAATGAAGCCAGTAAGCGAACCATTAAATGGCCATTCTGTCGATTAAAAAGAAAGCAAAACTACTGTAGCAGTGGCATTGCTGGTTATCAGGCGCTTTCTGCTTGAGCATCCAAAATGATGCCTGCTAAATGACAAATTTATAATTGGTCTTTTGGCAATTAAAGTTTGCCAAAGCAAGATACTGGCACTAAGGAAAAGTGCATTTAGAAAACCTGCTGCCAGAAAGTGGCAAAACGGAAAGCAGTGTGCTGCAGAGCACAAAGCAGAAGAACAAATTGAAAGTAAAATCAAATTTAGATTTGCCTAAATCACACTGCAAACTAATGGTTTCGATTAGGAGGTTAGTTGTAGTAAGAGTAGGAAACATGAAAAGGCGATGAATATAAGTATAAAAACAAGTTTTTATTTTACAAAGTGACCCAAGGGATTACTCTAAGTGATTGACTTCATCAGTTAAATTGTATCAGTAAAAAACGAGTAAATAAAAAAACAATAAACAAGCGTTCATATTTAATTTTACTTTTTTAGTTTTTTTAGTGAAGTTAGACTATTTTACAAAAACAAATACAATTTTGCATTCTAAAGAAATACAAAAAACAATTTGAATTCTGATGAAATAAATTGAATTACATTGTTTTTTGTTAGTTAATGAAATAATTAGAAATCCTCTTAAATGTCGGCCAGAGCTAACACTGGTTAGAATTTCGGGTGAAATCACATTTTTTAAACCGTCACATGA